ATATGTATACATGTGCCATATTGGTGTGCTGTACCCATTAACTTGTCATTTACATTAGGTATATCTCCTAATGCTATCCCTCCTCTGACCCCATGACACGCCTTGGTGTGTGATGTTCCCCTTCCTGTGTCCAAGTGTTCTCATTGTTCAATTCCCACCTATGAGTGAGAACATGCAGTGTTTGGTTTTCTGTCTTTGCGATAGTTTGCTGAGAATGATGGTTTCCAGCTTCATCCAGGTCCCCACAAAAGACATGAACTCATCCTTTTTTATGGCTGCATAGTATTCCATGGTGTATATGTGCCAAATTTTCTTAATCCAGTCTATCATTGATGGGCATTTGGATTGGTTTGAAGTCTTTGTGAATAGTCCCGCAATAAACATACGTGTGCATGTGTCTTTATAGCAGCATGATTTATAATCTGTTGGGTATATGCCCAGTAATAGGATGGCTGGATCAAATGGTATTTCTAGTTCTAGATACTTGAGGAATCACCACACTGTCTTCCACAATGGTTGAACTAGTTTACAGTCCCACCAACAGTGTAAAAGTGTTCCTATTTCTCCACATCCTCTCCAGCATCTGTTGTTTCCTGACTTTTTAATGGTTGCCATTCTAACTGATGTGAGATGGTATCTTATTGTGGTTTTGATTTGCATTTCTCTGATGGCGAGTGATGATGAGCATTTTTTCATGTGTCTGTTGGCTGCATAAATGTCTTCTTTGTGGTCTGTTCATATCCTTCACCCACTTTTTGATGGGGTTGTTTGATTTTTTCTTGTAAATTTGTTTAAGTTATTTGCAGACTCTGGATATTAACCCTTTGTCAGATGGGTAGTTTGTAAAAATTTTCTCCCTTTCTGTAGGTTGCCTGTTCACTTTGATGGTAGTTTCTTTTGCTGTGCAGAAGCTCTTTAGTTTAATTAGATCCCATTTGTCACTTTTGGCTCTTGTTGCCATTGCTTTTGGTGTTTTAGTCATGAAGTACTTGCCCATGCCTATGGCCTGAATGGTATTGCCTAGGTTTTCTTCTAGGGTTTTTATGGTTTTAGGTCTAACATTTAAGTCTTTAATCCCTCTTGAATTAATTTTTGTATAAGGTGTAAGGAAGGGATCCAGTTTCAGCTTTCTACGTATGGCTAGCCAGTTTTCCCAGCACCATTTATTAAATAGGGACTCCTTTCCCCATTGCTTGTTTTTGTCAGGTTTGAGATGGTTGTAGATGTGTGGTATTATTTCTGAGGGCTCTGTTCTGCTCCATTGGTCTATATCTCTGTTTTGGTACCAGTACCATGCTGTTTTGGTTACTGTAGCTCTGTAGTGTACCTTGAAGTCAGGTAGTGTGATGCCTCCAGTTTTGTGCCAAGCTGTATTTCTAACAGCTCATTGTGAGTGAGTGAGTTCAGGGACACATTTTGTAAGATTCCTCCTGAGTCCTGAGATGTAGTTCAAGTTGTCTGTCACACCAGCTGACTCAGTCAAATACTTGTATTGGTTCTTGCTCCTTCCCTGTTCTACACCGCTCATTCCTCACATTTGTTCCTAGAATCACATCCCTAAGTAACGTACCTGCATGTAAGCCTTTATATCAGGCTCTGCTTTCCAGGCAACCCAGGCTAAGGCAAGAGATACAGAAAATAGAATGCAAGAAATTTCATTGTATGGGAAGTTGGGGTCCTCAACAAAAGAAGAGAGAATAACAAAAATGATATTTAAAGAGATAATGGTTGAGATATTTCCAAAATGATGCAGACATCAATACAGATCTAAGAAGTCCAAAACTGATACAAACATCAATACAGATCTAATAAGTCCTGCAGAACCCAAGCAAGATTAAAAAAAAAAAGTCAAAAAATAAAACTGCAAAAACCAAAGACAAGGAGAAATATTAACAGCAGCCAAAGGAAAAGTGGTAGATTACCTTTAAATGACCATTCGTTAGTTTGACAGCCAACTTCTCAACAGAAGCATGGGAAAACAGATACCAATGGAAATGAGATCATTGTAGTGCTGAAAAAAATAATTACCAGGCTAGAGTTATATACCCAGTCAAAATATCCTTTAAGAGTGGTCATGAAATAAAATACTTCCAAGTAGACAAAAATTGAATGAATTTCTTATCAGCAGACCTTTATTAAAAGAAATGACAAAAGTCCTTTCAGGCAGAAGGTTAATTATTCCAAATGGAAGTTTGGAGGTATAGAAGAGATATCAAAAAATGATAAATATATGGGTAAATCTAAGTTAATATTGTCTATATAGAACAATAATAAGATGCATACAACTATAATAATACTGCCTTGTACAATTAAAAGAGAGAGAAAACTAAAATGCATGATTTATAAGTTGGAAGAGAGGTTTATATGTTGTTAAAGTGAGTTCTTAAAGTCTTTGTATTCACTGGAAATAGGGTAAGGTACCAATTAATATTGAAGGCTGCAACTTATAATCTAGGGTAACAATTAAAATAGTAAGAGTTTATAACTTCAAGCTAATGGGGAGAAGGCAAAAATTAGAATAATAAAAAATAGTCACTCTAAAGGAAAGCAAAAAAACAGAACATAGAACAAACAGGGCAAATAAAAAGTACTGAGTTAGATGCTGGATTTAAACCCAAATATATAAATAGTTACATTAAATGTAAGTAGACTAAATGTATAATTTAAATGGCAAAGATTGCCAGAGTGGTTTAAAAAACCAAGGTGAAGCTATACGCTGTTTAAAAGAGACACATCAAAAACATAAGGCTACAATAAGATTAACATTAAAGGAATAATCCACTGGACACAGTGGTTTCCCCCTGTGTGCCAGCTACTTGGGAGGCTGGGGTGGGAGGATTGCTTGAGCCCAGGAGTTTGAGACCAGCTGGGCAACACAACAAGACCCTGTCTCAAAAAAAAAAAAAAAAAAAAAAAAAAAGAAAGAAAAAAAAATAAAGGGATGGAAAAAATATTCCATGCAAATATCAACAAAAATAAAGCTGATGTGACTATACTAATATCAGACGAAATATAATTTACAGCCAAAAGAAAACATATTTAGAGATAAAGGGGGACGCCTCTTTTAGAGTCAATTCATCAGGAAGTTACAACAATTTTCAACAGCACCTAATATACAACAAATAGATAAATACATAAATAATTGTGCTAGATAAATATATAAATAGATAAAGTTTCAAAATGTCCAAAGCAAAAACTGACAGAACTAGAGAAAAAGAGAAATTCACAGTGGAAGTGGAGACTTTTAACAAGTCTGTCTCAGTAAGGGATGAAACACGTGAGTAAAAGTGAGATGGGACATGGATTTGAACAACATGATCAGCAAACTTGACCCAGTGGATACGTAAACAGTCTTCTACCCAGTAATTACGGAATACTTCTTTTCCATCTCGAATGGGACCTTTCTGAAAATAGGCTGAGGCATGCAGCAGGCCTCAACAAACTTCAGAGCACTGAAGTCATAGGAGAGCATACTCTCTGAGCACAGTGCAAATAAGCTAAACACCAATAACAAAAACCATAAAATAACAAAAACTAAATGTTTAGAAATTTTAGAAATAGGCTGGGCACGGTGGCTCACACCTGTAATCCCAGCACTTTGGGAGGCCGAGGCAGGTGGATCACCTGAGATTAGGAGTTTGAGACCAGCCTGGCCAACATGGTAAAACCTCATCTCTACTAAAAATACTAAAATTAGCCAGGCATGATGGTGTGCACCTGTAGTCCCAGCTACTTGGGAGGCTGAGGCAGGAGAATAGCTTGACCCAGGGAGGTGGAGGTTGCAGTGAGCCGAGATCGTGCCACAACATTCCAAACTGGGTAACAGAGCAAGACTCCATCTTAAAAAAAAAAAAAAAAATTAGAAATATTTTTCCAAACAATCCATGATGCAAAGAAGTCATAATGTCAAGTAGAAAAGCCAGAACTATACCCCCAAAGGGCAGGTACCTCTGCAGACCTGGCCCTGGCACAGGATATCTGGGAGCAGGTTGGACAGCCAGTCTGTTTGCTCTGCAGCAATTTCTTTGTGGAATAGCAAAGGGGTATTGCAACGATGCCAAATAAACACAGAACAGGATCCTAGAAGCTGAAGGAGGAACCCTTGCCCAGAAGCCCTGGAGCAGCTCTGTTTGTTAATTATTTCTGTAGTAACCAAGGGAACATTGGTGAGCTCCCCACAGAGTAACCACAGGTCAGCATCAAAGTAGACAAGTAGCTGGCCAGCAGTATTTCACAGCATCTTTGCTTTTCTTCCCGAATCTGCAGTTTGAGAGAGGCGGCTTGCCCTGGGAACTCTGCTGATAGGGCATCATGCAGCACAGTCCAGAATCCCTTTCTTTTTTGTCACACCCTCTGTACAATATGAAGTAGGAAAGTTGTATTCATTTGTATTCGTTTACTGCTGTAACTAAATATCATAGGCTGAGTGGCTTAAACCACAGAGATCTGTTTCTATGGAGGCCGGGAAGTATAAGATCAAGGGGCTGCCAGATGGGTGTCAGGAGCAGAACCAGACCACTGAGATTCCACTTCTGTGGCACTGATTCAGTGCATCCTGATGAAGGACCAGCCCACCCTAGCAGAGGGATGACCCAGGGACTGGACCATGCTCCTCATGCATGCTACTCAGAGCCAGGTTTGCTCCCTCGCTCTTGCCTGTGCTCTAGCCCAGTGCCACCCATGGCCTCCAAGTGATGGTGGCAGTGCGCCTATCTGACCTGCTATGCATGGCCTCTGGGCACTTGCAATGCAGCTACTGCAGACTGGGAACCAAATTTCTACTCTGTTTAAGTTACAGCTAAATGGCCACGTATGGCTGATGCATCAGTGCAGTCAGCCATCCTTGGTAAGGCACGTGAGCTCACCAAGGAGCAGTCAGCGCTGTCAGTGTGAACCCTCCAGGAGAAAAGGCCCCTTCCAATTTTGTCCATAGGATTATATTCAGGGAAAAAAAAAAAAAAAGAGTAGCATTATTGGACCAAAAAAATCACCACAAACAGAAAATGAACAAAATAAAGCTTTATTTGAACTCCCTCCCCTACAGATCATTCAGATGCCCGGGACCATGTCCAGATTCCTCTCAGCAACATGGAAAGCTAAGCCATTTCACAAATGCACAGCCATAGCTACACTACAGCCCCCCATGCCCAGGGCACAGACCTTTGTTGCTAAGTCTGTAACAAAAGAGCACCACTCAGTATTTGTGTGCGCTGCAGCCAACACCACCTCCTGGGCATCACAGGCTCACTCACCCAAGAGGCCAGCACCGCCATGGCCGAGTGGGTACTCAGTAGCCCAGACACCCCCCCAACACCGGCACTGCCACAAGGCCCTCAGGGGTAGACTGTGCGGCAAAGAGGATACACTCTCCCTGACCTAAGGGACCCGGCTCACTGGGCCTCCTTCCCCTGCCAACCACCAGCTCCTGTGTGCCTAGCTGGGAGGTAAGCACCCACTGGTGGCATGATTTCCATTATCTTGCTAATGTTGACAGCACCTAAGTCACATTAAAACAGAGAGAGACCGGATTCAGATCTCCAAGTCTCATCAGTGGACCTCAGTGGTTCTCACCGCCCCAACCACAGAGCGAAAGTCAGGCAGCGTTTACCAGGACTTGGCTCTGACCAAGTTAGTGCTCTAACAAGTCACCTGAGTTTCTAATAGCTTCCCTGAAGAGCCCACCTATTTGGAGAGTGTTGCCTCTCCTATCAAGAGGCATCTGGGGGCACAAAAATCTTTCTGGATCACAGCTTGAAGAAACAGAACATGATTGGAGCAGCTTCAGAACTAAGGTGGCCACATTCACCCCATCACTTAGGAGTTAGCTCCGCTATACACAACCAAGCACAGGAGAAACAGTCACCAGGAAAGGATGCTGGAGGCTTGGAAGTTCTCAAGGGAGCTGTTTAGACAGAGGTACAAACATCTCCAATTCAGACTTCCAAATACACTAACAATAATTAAAAATGTGGCCTCTGATCCTCATGTTTCCCACCAGTAGAGGCAAAAAAGGAGATTTTCATAACTATATGTTAAAAAGAACATGTTCAAGTAAATCCACACACTACATGTGAGTGTTGTATGCTGTTCTTCCACAATACAAAAGTATAAAAATACGATTTCTGCCCTTTGTATCTAGACACATCTGGAGAAAACATGGTTGCTACTAGCTAACTAGCTCTGTGTTATCTGAGCAGGCGCACTATCCCAGGGCCTCACCTTCCTGTGCTGGCTCAAGAGGGCAAAGAAATGGAGATGGCAATGCCTTTTCATTCCAGGAGACCAAACTCAGGATGACAGAGCCAACCCTAGCATGTTGCATAGCCTCTCCACGGGTGATACTCCTGGGACCTCCAATGGATGGGAGAAAGGGCTCTCAGCCCAGCTTCACGTGAGGGCGGTGTGGGTCATGTGTGGGGTGGGGGCTGCTTCTGGGACTTAAGAAGATGCCAACCTCAGGGGTACCCTCTGGGAAGGACAAGGCAGGGCCTGGGTGCCCGCCCTTCCTAAGAGCCCCTCAAAGCGCCAGCTCACTTAGCGGCAGCCTGCTTGTCCTTGCACTTCTGGTAGGCACTCAGGATCTCTGTGATGATGCTGGGGTCCTCCAGGGTGGTAGTGTCCCCCAGCTCCTGGGCCTCACTAGTGATGATCTTCCTCAGGAGCCGCCGCATGACCTTCCCAGACCTGGTTTTTGGAAGACGTTTCACCACCTGGCAAGGAACAGGCACGGTATTAGAGCGTGGATGATGCCCAGCCTCCGTGCTAGTATGGACTGCATTGAGATGAGAAGGGCTCTGCTCAGGGGGGATGCCCTCCCGGGGATCCACAGTGGATGTCTAAGCCTCCACCCCCAGAGAATGGTGAGGCCCGAGGTCTTGGCTTTATCCTCCCACTATCTGGACCTAAGCTGAAACCCACCCCAATGCCCTCTGCCAGGCAGGGTCCACCCAGGCTGGGTTCACCCCATACTGCCACCTGTCTGTCCTGCCACTGTGCCACGTGCAGGCACCCAGGTGGCAGCAGGTCCAAGCACCCACCGGATGCCTCATCTCCATTCCCTGACCTGGGACTTAGCAGGTTTTGTCTTATGTAAGAGGTGAGAACTACTTAAGAGAAAAATTTTGTCTTAGTGTTTGAAAAGCTAACATGGAGCATGCTCTAACAACTACAGCCCATTCACTGCAAACGGCAATACATTAAGAGCTGTTGTTTGGGATCTTTGACAGTCACTCTGTCTTTTGAAATAGTTCAGTTCACCTAGGGCGAGTCCGGGTCTCCTGAAACTCTGGTCACTTGGCCAAATGTGTCAACTCTCGTAATACCAAGTGGAGCCTGGCCCTGCTGCCTCCGAGGGCCACCAAACCCAGAGTCACTGCGCGCAATGTTCATAAAGGAGGGAATGAAAAACCGAGGGCTGAAGAGGCAGCCCAATCCTCCCCCGATTCTGACCCCCTGGGGTGGGGATCTGCGATCTCCCTCACTGCCACCAGGAAAAGTGCTCAGGAACCACACAGGGGCTGGAGAACCCTGGTACTGTCCCCATGTTTCTAATGAAAATCCCTAAGATTCTTCACCAGCAGCCCCATTTCTGTGACTAGCCTGCACATGCCAACATACTAGAGCAGAAGCCTGCCTAGGTGACCTCCTGAACAGGTGAGCTGGCTGGGCGTGGAAGCCTACGTGACCTCCTGAACAGGTGAGCTGGCTGGGCGTGGAAGCCTAAGTGAACTCCTGGACAGATGAGCCCACTGAACGTGGAAACCTGCCTAGGTGACCTCCTGGACTAGGTGACCTCCTGGACAAGTGAGCTGGCTGAGCTTTTGGAGGTGCTAAGCTCTTGGAGCTACATCTCCTGCCCTCTCCTCTCCCTCTATGACAACACAGCGACCCACCAGCCTCACCACCAGCCAGGAAAACCAAACAGCTAGTGTCAGTTTTGATGGTAACTGGAAAAGAGTAATATGCTCCTAAAAGATCATTGTCACTTAACAATTGTGGGAAGCACAGCAGCACAGCCCCACCTTTGTGGGAGGCCCACTCACCAGGATCTCATCAGGCACAGCATATTTGGCAATCTTGGTGGCCACCATGGACTTAAGCTCCTGCACCACCACATCTGAGTCACCTGCACTATCTTTCACCACAATGAAGGCAAAGGCAGCTGCAAATAAAGTCAAGTTTGGGGATGTATTAAATACTAGACAATGAGCCAACTCCCGAAGCAGGGTGCTATGCAGAGACTGCCAGAAATCCAAAGGGCTTTTGAATTCTATGTTAGGGACATTGTAGCAGCTGGTTTCTTTAGTTGCAAACCCAAAGACGCACTTCAGTTTCACGAAAAGTGGCAGCGATTCTAACAGCTCCACAGATGTTCCAGGTGAGTGCACATGTGTGGCTAAGAGCTTGGCATCTCAACTCTAATGCTGACTAACTGTGTGTGACCTGGGACATGGGACCTCCCCTCTCTGTGTCCTCATCTGTGAAATAACCCATAATGTGGTTTGATAGAATGAGACTTCCAAGAGAAGGTGCACAGATGCACAGCAAGTGGGCACCAACAGCCTTTGGGGGCGTGTGTGCAACATGGTACCATGGGCCAGGGTGGCTATTTCAGTTCAATTAAATCAGCAGCTCCCCGGCTGCATGAGCCACACTTCAAATGCCATTCAGCACCATGCACAGCCAGAGGCTGCCACCCTGGACAACACAGACGTGGGGCAGCTGAGAGTTCTGCCGGGCAGCACTGGCCAGCCCACATTTTAGCATAAATACTAGGTTTTGTTTTTCAGTACCTGGCATGTTCCGGGAAGGGTTCACACTGTGAAGAGGGATCTAATTTGATTGCTTTCCATATAAAGAGTCGCTTGTCCCAGCACCATCCCTGACAGCCTGCCCGTCCCCACTGGCCTGTAAGGTGCTCTGTCTCTCCCACGAAGTTTCTATATATGTGTGGCTCTCCTACTGCTCATCTGCCCCAGTGCCATGCCACCTTCACCCATTCTTCCCCTGGCATGTAGCACCTAACTGTGCAGTTTCTTCAGTGATCATCTTTCTTGCTCTTTGTCTGTCTCTCTCCTCTACTTTCGACCCCTCCAGCATGCTAGCTCTATGGGGGCAGAGACCTTCTCACTCACTGCTGTGTCTGCAGCATCTAGAACCATGCCTGGAACACAGGAGGTGCTCAACACATGGTTGTTTAGTGCATGAATGGATGATTGGTTTTCTGAACAAGCTATGATCTGTAAAGACCTACAGCCTTTGCCTGAAAGCCCTTCCCATATCCATGTGGCAAACTCCTATTCATCCCTCAAGACGCAATTCAGCCACCTCCTGCTCTGTGAAGCCTTTACCCATGAATCTAGTTTATGGCACATGCTGTGCGGGAACAGCTGTCAGTCCCTCTGCTGCCACCCCACTAGGTTGTTAGGTCTTTGGGGGAAAGAACACTGTTTTTCTCATCTTGGTCATTGATATGGGATCAGAAGTGGGCCTGGGCTGTTGAGTTCTGAGGATGGTGCTGGAGGGAGGAAACCCTCCACATGGGTGGAGGAGCCAGTTAAGAGCCAGGAGGAGGCAGGCAAGGCTCAGGACACTGGAGACAAGAGAGACAAGACCCTGGCCAGCAGCACCAGAGGCTTGCTGGGTCTACCAGGGGCTGCCCTTTTTCAGAGCTGGTGCAAAACAGAGAGAGTGGGGACAAATACATGATACTCACAGGTGGCTTTACAGCCAATCAAGAGCTGTTCGTCAGCTCTTCATAATTATAGAATCGATACTCAAATTCATTAGAAATCAGGAAAATCATCATACCCATGATACACAAATTCTCCCCACACATCTGGCAGACATTAAGAAGCCTGGCAACACCAGACTTGCAATAGCTCCACACATGCAGAACGTGCCCTGGGCAGCAGTGTCCACAGCAGACCATGCCCCAACACCACCCCAACAGACCTAAGGCTAAGCTGCCCTATGAAAGACAGTGATTGCGATGCCCAAACGTTTGTCTAAAGGTCACTTCCACTGTCCTTTCCTTGATCTTGCACTTACTTTATGGAGTTCAATACAGGGGCTTCTGAGCCCCCAGACACAGTGGACCATGCACGGACCCCTCTCAGTGTCCCCAGGGAGTACTGGCTCAGCCACTGGACTCAGACATAGATGCGGCTTTCCAATCCCAGGACACCCCAGTGCCCTGTGGATCCCCAGCCCAGAGACGTGAAATGCAGGAGTACCCAGAGGAGGGGCCCAGGCTCCTGTCAGAGCGAGGTTTGAGCACTAAGTTTTCCTAGACACACCTGAGAAACTGTCCTCATCTCCGTCCTCTCTGACCCTCCTGATCACATGTGGACGTCACCGGGCAGGGGTCCCCACCAGCTCTCTCCCACATCCCAGCCTTACCAGCACAGTCTTTTCATGGCAACTGAAAATGCTGTTTGTAAAGCACTGAAACAAATTCTCAATCTTGCAATGGGTCAATTTAAAGAAAGCATTTAAGTAAATAATGGAACAACGGCACATAGAAGTACAGGGAGACAGGTGACATCTGGGACACACTCTGACACAGGGTGGCCTCCCAGCAGGAGGGCAAGCCGGACCCCAGGCCACTGGGCAGGGCGGGAGAAGCCAGTCTGCCCAGCAGTGCCCTGGCATTGGATCTGTGTGTGTCCAGGTCACGCCAGGCCAGACAGTGTGCCTGGATGGACCTGACATTGCAACACCTGGGTGCTCCCGCCCCTTCCCAGACCCAGACACTGAGAAGCTGGCAGACTCGAAACAAAGCGTGGCCTTGGTAAAGAAGACCATTCTAGTCCCTCATTCTGCATTCCCCCGGCATGGCGCTGTGCAGTGGGAACCACAGGTCAGATTTGTCCAAAGAGTCCCAGGGCAGCACACAGCCTGCACGCTCCAGAGCACACTCCAGCACACACGCGTGGTGGCTGCAGAGCTGGCTTGAGTGCGATGACCAAGCCCGTGAGGACACATGAGGCTGGACATTTTCTCATAAACTCCCTGTAACAGGGCTGGGCGATGTCTCCACCAGATAAACCATGGACAGAGGGGGAAACCCCCGAAGCTTAGCCAAGCCCAAGTGGGTCACAGCCACTGTGGATGCATGTCCTGGAAGGACAGCAGAACCAGGGCATTTCAGAAACCTGACCGAACACGAGTGCTGTTCAGGCCCCTCCCCTGCAGTTTCCACTTGAGAGAGAAGAACACCGGGAGCTTGGCCCACAGTATCCCCTATCACCCCACTCTCCAGAGACTGCTCCTCGTACAGAGGTGCCCATAATGGGCATGGGGTCAGGAATCAGGGAGGAGCTCTTCTCCAGGACACTCACCTTCTCCTTTGATGTCGTGGGGGTAGCCAATGACAGCACTTTCCGGCACTGCAGGGTGGTCGGCCTGTGTACAACAGAGAACAAAATGACAAAATGTGGCAGCCCCTGGTGCTAGAAGTGACTCGGACCAGGGACTCCCACCCGGACTTGCAGGCCCATAGGGGCATCATGGAGGTGCAGAAGTGAAGGGGGAGGCCCAGCCTGTGCTCACGATGGCGTCCTCAATCTCTGCGGTCCCCAGCCGGTGGCCACTGATGTTGATGACATCATCCATCCGCCCTGTGATCTGGTAATAGCCGCCCTCAGTTCGGTGAGCCCCGTCTCCAGTGAAGTAATAGCCTACAACAGCAGAGAAATTCAGCACCAGGAACCCTGAGCCAGGACCCACGTCCCCACCTCACTAAACATGAAGCTCTGCAGCCCAGCACACGGCTGCAGTCTCGCCCATCGGCCCTCCTTGCAACTCCGATGCTTCCCTATGTTCTAGAGCATGGGCAGGCAGCTCCAAGACATCGAGACTTCGGGGAGCAGAAGGTATACAAGCAGCACTTCCAAGACGCTTCTCCAAAACACTGAGTCTTGTTTACAAGCTTGAGACTGAAAATGACTGGTTCCAACAAGACAGAGGAGATAGCATTCATATAAATTTCCAACCCAAGGACAAAAAGGGAAACTAGGAAAAAAGAAAAGTAAACTGGAAGAAAACTCCCAGCCTTGGTGACAGTCTTCCAAGGTACTTCTCCACCCTCCCTCCCCAGTAGCTAACAGGATCCTACCACGGGCCTGGCTGCAGGGCAGGACTTCACACGCACACCTAAGTAGCCCCAAGAAAGTCCCCGAGCAGGGAATCACGCCCACTGTCAAGATAAGGAAAGCCAGGGAGGAACAGCAAAGGGAGAGGGGGTCGGAGTCAAACTCTGGCCTCAGGAGCGCCTGTTCCTGGCCACTGTGCTATGCTGCACTCAAATCCCGTTAAAAATGTTTTCTGAGAATAAGATTCCAGCAGTCAGCTGAAAAGGAATGAGAGGGTCCCTGACAGCCTGCTCACCTGGGTAGGCCTTGAAGTAGGCGTCCACAAATCGCTGGTGGTCGCCATAGATGGTCCTGGCCATGCCCGGCCAGGCCTGAGAGATGCACAGGGCCCCGGAGACGTTGCTGCCCTCCACGACGCTGCCCTGTAGACCCCGGACATGCACGTGAGAGAGGGCAGGCTCTGGGTGACAAGTGTGCCAAAAAATGACAAGCCCTGCCCTCAAGGGAGCTGTCCATAGCTCTCCCCTCTGCCCCGAGGAGGGCCCCAAGCCGCCTGTGTGGCCGCTAGCCAGTGCATGATACCAGTGCAGTGAACGCTGTGAGGTCAGCAGCCTCCTGCCAGGTACAGACCTGGGCACACAGGAGGGAGCTGGGCTGGGCAGGCAGGGATGAGGGAGGGCAAGCACATGGCCCCCATGCGGGGAAGGCCCATACACACCTTCTCATCCATGAGGACGGGGACGATGCCAAAGAAGGGCCTCATCGCCATGCCAGGGAGGATTTCCGCCCCTTCTTCCGAGGGCCGTGGTGCGATGCAGATGCCACCCGTTTCTGCAGGTACGACAAGGAAGAAATGCAAGATCGGCCCGGACCCAGGGATATGCGTATCCAGAGTGGGGGGTGGGTGGGACTGTCCCTATTGTGGGCAAGGAAATGCCTCAGGGGCACAACGATCTTTGAGGCAAACCAGATGTGAGTCTGGTGCCCTCCACGGCGGATATGAGAAGGAGCCCCAAGCTGGCCTCAGCCCCAGGAGCTCTGGCGTCCCACAGCCAGGTACAGGCCCCCTCGCCATGTCAGGGCCTTGCTTGAAGTAGGAAAGGGCAGAGCCCACCCACCTGCACATGAAGACGGGGGAAAAAGAATTGCTTCTGGGCCAGCGCCTGTTCGACACGAACCCAGCAACGAAAAAAGATGCCCTCAAATCCTGCCATCACATTATTTCTCTGGCACTCGCCTCTACCAGGGAAATGCCCCAGGGACTCAGCTAGAGAATCTCTGCCCCAGGTTTTCCCAAATGGATGGGACTGTCCCATGGGAACATCTCATTTTCTGGCTTGAGGATGAGCCCTCAGATAGTTACATTCATTACATCTGTGGTGGTCTCTCTCCCCAAGCATCCTAACAAGTCAGATACCCAAGAGAAGGGGGGACAAATCCAAACAAAATGTCACAGGAAAAATTCCTTTTCTCACTAAAATTTAAATTTAGACTCACGCTTCCTTAGAAGATAGGCCCTGTCTCATCAGATGTTCCCCTGTTCAGAAAGGGGCACTTGGAAGGGACACGGCCCTTGAGCTCCTGCTGCACACCAGGCGTTGGGCAGCAAGCTGGGCTGTGTCGCCTCAGTTCACCCTCACCCAGGCCTGTGGGGGGCACCCCCACCTCACAAAGGAGGAAACCGAGGCTCAGAGAAGTCGTGACATGAGGTCCCATAGCTGGGAAACAGCAGCCAGGCGACCTCGGAGTTCCCTCACTCTAGGCCACAGGGTTTCCGCAGTCTCAGGCGTTGATGTGTCTTCTATTGCACCTGCTGTTGAGAGCTCGGACCCCAGTCCCAGCCTCACACCCAACCCTGCAGACCCAGCACTTAGACTGGAACCTGTTCCCCAGGCCTCCTCACCTGTCTGCCACCAGGTGTCCACCAGCGTGCACCTGCTGTCCCCCACCACCCTGTGAAGCCACTCCCAGGCCTCACAGTTGATGGGCTCTCCCACTGAAACCACACAGGAAAGAAAAAGATGTTAACAGGCTGCAAATAAACCTGAAACCAAAAGTAAGTTTTGTTTTTTTTTGTTTTGTTTTTCTTTTTTTGTTTCGTTTTGTTTTGTTTGGTTTGGTTTTTGTTTTGTTTTGTTTTTTGAGACTGAGTCTCGCTCTGTCGCCCAGGATGGAGTAGAGTGGCGTGATCTTGGCTCACTGCAACCTCCACCGGCCAGGTTCAAGCAATTCTCCTGCCTCAGCTTCCTGAGTAGCTGGGATTACAGGTGCCCGCCACCACACCCGGCTAATTTTTTGTATTTTTAGCAGAGATCGGGTTTCACCATGTTGGCCAGGCTGTTCTCGAACTCCTGACCTCAGGTGATCTGCCAGCCTTGGCCTCCCCAAAGTGCTGGGGTTACAGGTGTGAGCCGCCGTGCCCAGCCAAATAAAGAGATTTTTAAGGAGAAAACAGCTCTGTAATGTTTTTTTTTTTTGAAGAACATACAAGGAGACCTGAAAATGCAGTGAGACATATCATATTTATGGTCATCAAAGAAATGCACATGACTGTGACGTATTTTTATCATTAGATAGTTGAAAATCAAAAAGCCAGCAAGAATGTGGGGAAAACAGGATTTCACAGACACCAATAGGAAGGTAGTGTGGTTCAGCAATTTTGGGGAGCAATCTGGATGTTTCTCTTAACATTTAAAACTCCATACATCCAATACAACTACTTTGAGCAACTGCTTGGGGCAGAATCTACTACGGCGGAACACCTCAAAACATGACCCCTGATGTACACCCCACAGAAATGACTGCAGATGCCACCAGAAGTGGCCATGTAAAGGGTGTCCTCAGCAGCTCTGCTCATGCCAGAAACCACACACATCCCTCAGGAGTAGGTGGCTAAATACAACATGGCACGCTCCTGCAGAGGAACGCCACACTGCAAAGAAGATGGCGAACCTCCACGACCCACGGCGGCATGGGTGAGTCTGAGGCACGATGCTGAGAAAGGGAGGGGTGTGCTGTGTGATCCCACCCAACTGAGGTTCAAGTGCAGCCACATCTGTCCGTGGTGATGCAGGCTACACTGTGATCATGGCTCAGGTAACTCCTGTGACTGGCAGGAGCCATAAGGGGGCCTCTGGGGACTGGGAGTTTCTGTAGCACTTATACATGTAAACATCTCTCAAGTTGAACACTTAACATCTGTACCCTTTAGTATACATTATATCTCAATAGAAAGGAAAAAGATACACATACACCCTAGCATTCTCAGTGTCTATCTTATGACATTTCCACACCAGGCCAGCACTCAGCCAGAACTCTCCAGGCTAGACGCACTGTCACTAAAACACTGACATATTCTCATGCTGGTGTTTGCCCCTTGCTCAGGGACCACTCACAACCCACAGCCTGTCCCGGCAGCGGCCGCCGCATCAGTGCTGCATGATCAGTGCTGGCCACATGGGCGGCTCGGTGTCTTATGTGTCACACCTGCACTCAGAACATCCACAAGGGGCAGGGAGATGCCCTGCAGCACTGGTGGACACGCTGGGACACTGCGACAGCCTGCACCCAGCCACGGGGACGTAACCACACGAGCCAGGGCAATCCCCACAGCAGGGCAGATCCATGTGCAAAAAATGCAGATTCTACGATCTTAAAACAAACATTACAGCATAATAGCACAGTGTGGTGACTTTGGTGTTAAAGAAAACATCATTTAACAGAGCCGCAATCCACTACAGGAACTGAATTGCGGAGACGGGACCGAAGGCGCAGGAGCAACAACACCTGGAGCAGAGGTCAGGGAAAATCTTAGCTTTTTTTTTTTTTTTTTTTAGAGAGACAAGGATCTCGCTCTGTTGCCTGGACTGGAGTGCAGTGGCACAATCACGGCTCACTGCAATCTTGACCTCCGGGGCTCAAGGCTCCTCCCATCTCAGTCTCCCAAGTAGCCAGGACTACAGGCATGTACCCCCACGCCCAGCTCCTAAGGACATCAGCTTTAAGTTCAATGCTCCAATTTCTTCTTTTCACAAGAGCTTATCCATGTATTACTTATGAAATTGAAAGTTTAAAAAAGCTTTGAGAAATACACTTCTAGGGGGAGGGTCTTGAGTAAGTGGGATTCTGATGACTCAGTGTCGTGAGGGCTGATCCTAGCTGCCTGGAATGGGTCTGGGCTCTGGAATTGCACTGACAAGTGTGCCAGCACAGTGCTGGCCCTGGCCAAGGTGTAGAATACACTGACCCCCAGCACTGCGCCAAGGTGCTGGGAGCCTCAGGTGCAAGACATCACAGGACGCCGCGCTGCCTGCCAGCATTGTATACCAAGAACAGCACAACAAGGTGTGTGATTAGCACCTGGCCTCCCGCAGGGTTCTGCGGCTAGAACCGGTTATGCAACAGGAATAGGAACATGCCTATTGACCAGCTAAATACACAAAACCCAGCTGAGCCTATGCTGGGGGCTGGCCCCCTGGCTCAGAGGTGTTCCAGGTCTGTGGGGACAGAGGCTGCTGGGATACACATCACACTCTAATGCAGCTGCCAGAGCACACCCCTTCCTGAAATGCACTTAGTGTGGTACCCCTTGTCACTGGACCCCGTGAATCTTCCTTCAGCAGACAAATCCCATGAGTGTATCTGGAAAACCAAATCTTGGCCTTCAGCCCTGTCCCCACCTAATGCCTAGGGCCCACTCATGTGGCCCTGCTGACAACACCTAGAGAATCTGGGAGAGTGTCTATGGCCCTGACCACCCCACTGTTTGTTCCCAGTTCCCAAGCACTGTATGGCCCGGGCAGTCAGAATCACACGGGCCTCTCAAGCCCAGCTCCAGCATGCCAAGAGAGACCACCCAAACTCACCACTTGCTGTGGTTTCAATGTTTGTCCCTTCCAAATCTCATGTTGAAATGTAATTGCCATTGTAACAGTATTAAGAGGTGGAACCTTTATGAGGCGATTATGCCAAGAGGTTTCTACCCTCATGAGTGGGATTGGTGCCATTATAAAAGGGTGAGTTCAACTTCCTCTTGCTCTCTCTCACCTTCTCTTTGCCCTTCCACCATGGGACAATGCAGCAAGAAGGCCCTCACCAGATGCCAGCACCTTGATGTGGACTTCCCAGCCTCCAGAAACGTGAACCAATAAATCTCTGCTCATTATAAATCATCCAGTTTCAGGGTATTCTATTACAGCAGCACAAAGCAAACCAAGACACACCATCTGGAAAGGAGCCCCATGCTCTTTCTAAGAGGTGGAGGGACAGTATGGCAAGGGAAGCAGAGTGAGCCAGGACCCTAGGACCTGCTGAGGGTACAGGGTGGGTGCCTAGAGCCCATCAATCAGGTGGGAGGCAGAGTGAGTTTTACTGACTCTAGAACCAGGTACTGGGTTCAGCACAGGGTGCCCTACTTGCTGAGTGACCTTGGGCAGGTTCGCTGACCTCTCTGTGCCTCCTCTTCCTCCTCTGTAATGCGAAGCAACATCTGCTCTTTGCTCAAAGGATGTGAAGATAAAGGCATTTAATACATATTTGCTCTTATTAATAGTATTCAAACCCCTCCTGCTTTTTAATCTAGAAAGCTCTTTGAGAAAAGAAGGTTTTTACTGTTAAGGGGAAAATAAGGGAAAAGAGGAGGAGGAGTCATTGGATGCCTGCTATTCCTCAGGAGCTCTCCCCGTTAATCATCTCCATGCTAAACATTACACTAAGGCTCACATCTGACCCTCTGTGGCATCCTCACCACCCTGCAGGTAGGTCTCATCCCCATCTCACATTTGAGAACAAGTGGTGAACTCTGCAGGGCACAGCCCCAGCTGCAGTGCCTCTCAACCTGTGGCCCAGATGCCCACATGGCCTCATGGTCACCCAGCAGTAGCAGAATCACATGTTCACCGCACTCCCTTCCCACGGATGCATGTGGTAGAATGGGACACTCTTCCGTGGTCACTGCCCTGCATGCTTCCCCAGTGAAAAGCCACCAAGCAGGTGGCTGACCACACGTGACCACACATGTAAAGGCAGACATGAAATGTGGCAGGGACAGGAGAGGGAACAGCAGTCACCAGCACCCAGTCCCTCCCAGCACCAGACCGAAAGACAGACACCGCCGATACTGTCGAAACCATGACACCGTCACTTTTCCAAAATGTTTCCACGTGACTTGGCAATATCCATCAACATTACCAATAGGCCTAAGCTTTGAACTGTCTGCCTGGAAACATCTACAGTAGCAGCAGGGCAAAAGCGCAGGATGGTATCCACTCCACGGACTTGGAGACAATCAAAAAGTCTAACAACGGGGCAGTGTTTAGCAAACCGTAGTTATACTATTATTATTATTATTACTATTTAGAAGACTGAGTCTCACTCTGTCACCAGGCTGGAGCACAGTGGTGCAATCCTAGTTCACTGCAGCCTGAAACTCCTGGGCTCAAGCAATCCTCCCACCTCAGCCTTTGCCACCACACCCAGCTAAGTTACACAATTAAATCCCATGCAGCCACTAAAGAAATGACTTGGCCCTTAACTTATCGAGTGGGTAAGTATTCCTAATGAAGATTAAGCTACAGAAATTGGGCACAGAAACGATGGCACAGAAAATGTCTGGAATGCTTTTCCCCAGACTGGTAACTGCTGCCAGCTCTGGGGAGGGGCTTATAGGTGGGAAGAGGTGCTTTCTACCAGATCCAGTCTGGCGTTGCATGAATTCACACATACAAAGCCGGGCAGCTTCATGACTGAAGTCCTGCTGAAGCGCGTATAGGCTCTGAGGGTCTAAGGCAAGTGCACCCTCTCCTGCTGCACAGCAGACCACTCACCTGACCCCAGGGTCCGCAGGGAGGAGCGATCGTACTTCTTCACCCAAGCATCACCGTATTTCAGCAACAGCCGGACAGCCGTTGGAGCGCCATAGAACTGATTGATCTTCAACCTCTCTACTGTCTCCCAGTACCGACCTACAGAAAGGCCGAAATTCAGTGTCAGCAGGAGAGCTGACATGATCTACTTTAAACTTAGAGATCAGCCAAGACTTCCTGAGTGCTGGGCACGTGCAGACGTGCATATGTCCATATAAAAAGGATCCCTCCCAACCCCCCCACCAGTGAAAGACGGAAAGAAGCCCCATAGGACAAGTCTCCAATGGCGGCTCTCCTCCCAGCACTCCCCAGATCCATGGGTGGCACATTCAGCAACAGTCTTCACCTGGCTTAGGGTGATGGCCTAGTTCAAGGCGATACTATGTGGATTTAATAACCCGTGGAGCATTAACACAGAGCTTTCACTCGGTCACACTTACATGGGCTCTAAAGTGGTGACTGGGGCTTCCCCTCGTGACAGCAGAGCTGCCACTGTGTGTGTCCCAGGGAGCAGGGCCATATGCCCAACATGCACACCCCTGATTCCTGTAAACCCACCACCCACACCATCCCCTCCACATGGGACACTGAGCTTCCAGGGGCTGAAGTGGTGGCCTGAGACAGCACCTGGGCCATGGCCCTGAATCCCTGGTCTTGCCCCTACAACTTCTTCCTTGAGCACACCCAGACCCCAAAGGCAGGGATGGAGCACTGGGAGGTGATAACACAGTTCGTGCACAGTTGTCAGCGCCATGGAACGCTGTGGCAGCAGCCTTTGGGCAGAGCCACCATGGTCTTCTTACATTAAAGCAAGTATTTGAAGACACTGCTGTGTGGGAGGACGATGCCCAAGGGAGCCAGACTTCACCTTGTTTTCAAAGTGATCTCAATGTAATGGAGATGGTTCTAGGCCATGCATAACATGGTCTGAGGGATGGCCCTGAAGGTTCAAGGGGCAGGGCTTGGGAAACAGAAGAGGCAGGCTGCTGGTCCTAGCCTCGAGAAAGGGCTGGATCTGGGCAGGCGGCCTAGAGGTGAGAAGGATACCAAAGTGATGGCCCGAGGCCGGCAGTTTAAGTCAGAGGGCAGGACTACAGGAGCAGGGGCCTTGAGATGTCCTCCAGCGCCAAGTCTGACTCCCTGCTGCTGCCCGTCGGATCTTTCTGAAGACCCAGTGCCTGGCCCCACCGGGCATCTCGACAGCAGGACCTGGAGAGCCACACCCTCACCAGAGCCCAGGTGTCCCCCTTCCATGAACCTCTCCACAAGCCTCGAGCCTCAGGTTCTCTCCCCTGACACCAGCATGGGGTCCCAAACAGGGTTCACCATCCTTACCAGCATTGGGGTAAACTGGGGTGCTCTCAAAAAGGACACTGGTGGCTCCATTGCAGAGAGGCCCATACACCACGTAGCTGTGTCCTGTAATCCAGCCAATGTCAGCCACACAGCCGAAGATGTCACCTGGCCGGTGGTCGAACACAAGCTGCAGAGACAGGAAGGGAGCATCAGGAGCTTGTCCCCCCACTCCACCATGTTCACCAGGTCACTAGGAAATCGGCATGCATATGCTGCAGGCCACAGCTGTGAGAGGCAGCTGGCTCCTCAAACGGCCTCCAGCAGCAGGACAGGTGGGAACACTGCAGAGTCCGTCTAGTTGTATGTTTAACACATGGACACCTTTTTGCATTGCCTTATGCCACGATTTTTTAAACCTCTTAAGAACTACAAAAAATAAAAGTCAAAAAGGCCAAGAATGGCATCAAGCATCATCAGCTTCGAGAAGCATGAGAGGACAGACATCCGAATCCCCTTTATTCTTCCGCAGCAGCTCACTGGAGCCTGATCCCATCTCAGGATCCAACTGCCCATATGCAGGAAACACAGAGGGCAGAGGGACAACAGGCACAACCCAGACCAAAAGACACCAGAGAAAAATGGCTGGACACGACAATGGCCAACTGTAAGGAAATGGGGGAGCATAGGCTTAAAAGGACTTAAAAAATATATCAACAATATTTTAGGCCGGGCTCAGTGGCTCACACCTATAATTCCAACACTTGGAGAGGCCAAGGCGGGCGGATCACTTGAGGTCAGGAGTTCGAGACCAGCCTGGCCAACGTGGCAAAACACTGTCTCTACTAAAAATACAAAAAAAAATTTAGCAGGGTGTGGTGGCAGGTGCCTGTAATTTCAGCAACTCAGAAAGCTGAGACAGGAGAGTCACTTGAACCCAGGAAATGAAGGTTGCAGTGAGCGGAGATCACACCACTGCACTCCAACCTGCACAACAGAGTGAGACTCCATGAAGAAAAAATACATATTTTAATGGGCAACAGTAAGCTACAGTGCCCATGGACACACATACGAGCCACAAAACTATCAAAAGAAAAACACAGGGCAGGGGCGCAAGACGCATCAGGACATGTTGGACGGGGCTGCAGCCACATGGGCCTGGAAGGGGCTTCTGAGAAACGGGTGGCCTTTCACCTCCTGACCAAAGTGGCATTTGCCTTATAATAATTCATTAAGCCACACATTTAATTTGGGTGGTTTTCTGTATCTGTTCTAAAAAGAGTTTTAAAAAATCTTTGGGTGAGTGGCCCTTAGTGTCCTGCTGCCACGTTACATGGTCAGATTCTCTGGGAGCTTCTAGACAGTGCAGTGGGAGCCCGAGGCAGCCAGGGCCCTGAGGAGCTGTGGGGTGGGGAGACTCGAGGGGCCCTGCCCCAAATAGGCCAGGAAGGAACACTGACCTCTCACACCTACAGGCCTCGCTCTGCAGCAGGAGGACTTCTGGCCCTGCCCCTGCCTGGAGCCCTGCCGAGGGCCCAGCACCGCCCCGCACAGGCCTGTACCTTGTGGGTCAGGGCGGCATAGAGCAGGTAGCCTGCCTGGGTATGGACGATGCCCTTGGGCATTCCAGTGCTCCCTGAGGTGTACAGCATGAAGAGCACGTCCTCGCTGCCCATGCTCTCTGGGGCGCATACAGGGTCCTCCTTGGCCATTTCCTGGAAGGGACAAGAAACAAAGAGCCCACTGAGGGCACTCAGCCTCTCTGAGAGCACCACTCCCCCCTCCACAGCAGGACTCCGCACACAGGATTCAGAAATCACCTGCTCTGACCTGTCCAAGTTCAATTCCAAATGTGGAAAGGACACAAAACAAAAGGGTGGGTGCAATCATTTGTGTTACAGTAAGTGTTCCAATCTCCTTGTCGTATTGGAGTTTTATCTTCCCAGACAGTACTCAAGCTCACCAAATACCACAGAGGAATCCTGGGCACCTCTAGGGAACCCAAATTGAGAACTACAACCCAAGAAGTCTCAGAGCCAGCTAACTTGATATGACCTCTCCTCAAACTGTGCAAAGTGAGGTAACCCACCTGCTCCAGCGGGACGTCCAGATCCCCCATGTGGACCTTGTTGTCTGTCCTGTGAGCCACCAGGACACGCTGCACGGTGGGGCAGTGCTTCACAGCCTCATCCACTATTTTCTTCAGCTCCATCACGCGCCCACCCCGGAGTCCTTGGTTGAAGGTGATAACCACCTTGCACTTGGCTAACAGAGACAACACAGACATTTCTGATCAGTCTCCTCCCGACTTTGGCCCTCATACCTCTGACTCACATAGGACATCCAGGCCTAGGACTGTGAGAAACTCAGTCCAATCTTGAGTAAAAGACTCAATGGAAAAAGTGAGGGGCTGTCTGCTCTCCAGCCTTTGTGTGCCATGAAGAAGCACCAGGCCTTTGTCCAGTTCTGGGGCTAAGGGGAAGGAACCAGAGATAAATTACTTTGAAGCTCAACTCTTCCTCCTTGAGTCAGCAGCATAAAGACAATTTGCCAACCAGACTTCCACCTTTCTCTCCTGTCTGCCCAGGAGCAAACCCCGGGAAAGGGGCCATCATGCCACCTGCAGCAATCAAGGTGACAGAGAAACACCGAGAGGCAGAGACCAAGAAAGCTGGACAAACAGAGGCCAAGCCCAAAGGTGTCCCATGTGGCCAGGCCCTGTCTAGAGTGACGTGTGTGGGCCAAGAGCCTTCACTGTCCAGAGATCAGAAACTACACCCCAGTGGATGACTGGGAGCTAACTGCCCTCCTCACCTGCAGGAGAAGGCCCTCCTGATCCCACACCTGCTCTTCAATGACCAATGGTGCTCAGCCAGGCCCAGGGGGAAGCCAGGAGGACCCTAGCTTCCATGGTTAACCTAGGGGGAGGCCCAGAGCAGGGAAGAGGGGTGCACGCACAATGGGCCTCAAGACCCCAGGAAAAGGAGGTGTCTGCCATGCTGTTCCCCAGTGCGGGATGACCCAGAGGGATCACAGCTGCAGACGGTTACTACACAGACCCTCAGGAAGAACCTGGGACAAATATCCAGCTGTGACCCTGACTGGCAGGGCCTCACCCACATTCCTCAGGCCTTTCAGTCATTTTGCACCAAAGGTCTCTTGCAGAGCTATGGACAGAAGTGCTTGGGAACCCTCAACCAATGACTCTCAATAGTTGGAGTACAAATCCTCGACCACCCTTTGGTGGGTACAACTCCCCACCCTTTGCATCGAGCCATTTGAGGCATGTGTGCCACATTCCTGTCCAGAGCCTCTCTGCAGATGAATCTCCAGTCACCCCCTGTGGCCTCACTCACCACTGCCCCACCACACTTCCAAGACAGACTCTGGTCTCAATGTTCCCTTTGGGAGAGTCCTACCTAAATAAATCTGAAAGCACTTTTGCACAACATGCCCACCCTTTCTCCTCCTGAGAGCCCTGGAGATGTCATGGCCATGAAGGTTCCCTGAGAATTCTGCAGCACACACAGGACCATCCAGGGGTCAGAGAGATACTCTAGGCTGCCACCCCTGCCTGGCACCAAGAGCCATGGCTACACACATTCTTTGCCCTTCAAGCTTCAGCGATAGCTCACCTGGGGAAACCAAGTCAGTTGGGTGGAGCCTATCAGAGACTTTCCAGATCTACATCCCCGAGCAGGGGTTGGTCCAGGCAAGCCCCCTATGGGCGAGGAAGGGAGATAGTGCAGCAGGAAGGAATGAACCTTTCTCAAGGGGATGGGAGACAAAGAAAGCTCATGGGGATGAGGATCTTTCATGAAACAGTGACCCCAGCCCGTGCAACATGCTGAAACCACACTACACAGCAGGCAGTTCCTTCTCTGCCTCCCAAGGCACACACCTTGCTCCTGACTCGCACCTGTCCAGGGCCTCCCTGCCCAACAGGCTCTCCATGAGAGGCCTCCAGAAGGTACCCAGGAGCTTCTGAGCACCATAAGCATGTCTGGCCCACTGGTGCCCTCCAAGGCTGGGCCACAGCATGGGTGCTGGCAGGAATCACGTGCCACTCTGGGAGGATTTGACTTTCCCTCCCTGGATTTGAGCAGGCACCAGCATCTGCGTTCATTTTCTCTGCTTCCATAACAAATGACACAAACTCAGTGGCTCGGAACACTCATTTTTAGCTCACAGTTCTGTTGTCTGGACAGGCTTGGCAGGGTTCTCTGCTTAGAGTCTCACAAGGCCAAAGTCAAGGACGGGGCTGGCTCCTATGTGGTGGCTCTGGGGAAACATCCACCTCCAGGCTCATTCAGTGGTTGGCAGAACTCAGTTCCACGCGACTGTGGGATTAAGGTCGCCCTTTCCTTGCTTACTGTCAGCCAGGGGTCATTCTCAGCGACTACAGCCACCACCTGCCCTGGTTCATGGCCCTGTTTATCTTCAAAGCCAACAATGGCGGGTAAAGTTGCTTTGAATCTCTCTGACCTCCCCTTCTGCTTTACTTCCTCTGCCTCTACTGGGAGCAAGTTCTGTGCATTTAAGGGCTACGGGATTAGATGGAGCCCACCTGGATATCCCATTGCCTTACATCTGCAAAGTCCTTTCACCATGCAAGTGACATGGCACAGCTTCCAGGGGATTACAGTGTGGCCATCTGAGTGGGTCATTATTCTGCCCCCATAGCCTCTCTCAAAGCCATTCTCCTGACCTCTATCCTCCCCTCCAACACTCTCTACTCCTCAGGCAGCCTAAAGCAAGAGGGAAGACAAATGAAGAGGGATGGTCCAAGCCTGGAAGTCAGGCCAGGGGACAGAACTCTGGAACTGCGCCTGCTGACTGAGGTGGCTGCCCAGACATGTGATACCCTGGCGGTCAGACTCACAATATGCACCCACCTCCCAGTGACCAACTGAAGATGGCTGCACATTCTTTCACCTGCTCTTATAGAGAAGCCGGATCCAGGTCTCCTCCCCTTGAATCTGGAATGGCCACAGACTGGTTTGGCCAATCTAGTAAGGCAAGAGTGATGCCAGGCCTGTGCCAGCCTGGCCTGTAGGACACTGGCAGTTGCTATTTCCTTCCTCTTGGAGCCATGTGCTGCCATGTGACAAGCCTGACTGCTGAGGCTGCAAGGCTATGAGGAAGCCCAAGTCAGCCACGTGTAGAGGCCACATGGAGAGAAAGAGAGGCCCGCCAGTCCCCAACCCTTCAAGTCAACCTGACTAATGTCCCAGATGTCATGGAGCAGAGAACAGCCATTCCCCGTCCCCATCTGATTCCTGTTCCACAGACCCATGAAATAGAATAATAAAATTTATAGTTTTCAGTTGTTTTAGGCACTAAGTTTTGGAGTAGTTTGTGACACAGCAATAGAAAATCAAAACAGCCCCTCATTGACTCAAGAGGACACAGATACCCATCTTAATAGAATCTTGTCCCCAGGAACCTGGCACCTGCAGAGCTGCACAAGGAGGCTGAAGGATATCAGGGCAGAGTCCTCTTCAGAACAGACTCCTGGCCCCTGCCCTCTCATGCTTGGCTGTTTAGCAATTCTGAGGTTCTGGGAGCACCCCAGCATCCAGCTACTAAATTCCCATATGCTGAAGTCACCAAGAGTCAACTGCTATTGCTTGTTTCAAACAATCTTAACAGAAGCACTGGGTGACCATGGCCACACCAGCAAGAGAGGAAAGGGGCAGCTTAGCATAATGCTGAAAGCATGAACTATGGCGGCAGAATGTCTGTGTTCAACTCCTGGCTCTGTCACTTACTAGGTATGTGACCTTAAATAAGTCACTTAAACTCTCTGCGTCTCAGTTTACTCATCTTTAGAAAGGGAACAGTAACTTCCCAACAAAGAAAAGACCAGAACCAAATGACTTCACTGGTGAAGTCTATCAAATATTTAAAGAATTAGCAACCAATCCTTCTCAAACTCTTCCAAAAAACTGAAGAGAAGGAGATACTTTCAAATTCATTTTATGAGGCCAGTATTGCCCTGATACTAAAGCCAAAGATTACTACAAAAAAAGAAAACTACAGACAAATATCTCATATAAACAATGATGCAAAACTCTTCCACCAAATGCTAGCAAACTGTACCCAGCAGCATATTAACAGAATACACCATGACCAATCAGGACTTACCCTAGGAAAGGTGGTTCAACATGCAGCAATCAATCACTGTAATACATCACACTACTCCAATGAAGGAAAAAACACACCTCAATTGACGCAGAACAAGCTTTTGACAAAATCCAATACCCTTAGATGATCAAAAACTTAAAACCAGGAATAGAAGGGAACTTCATTGATAAAGGGCATCTGAAAACCCATAGTTAACATCATATTAATGGTAAAAGGCTGAAGCCTTCCCCCTAAGATCAGGAACAAAACAAGGATGCCCACTTTTTACCACTGCAATTCAACATTATAAAAGAAGCTGTTGCCAGAGTGATTAGGCCAAAAAAAAAAAAAAAAAAAAAAAAAAAGAAATAAAAGACATCCAAATTGGAAAGGAAAAAGTAAAACTATCTCTATTCACAGATGACATGATCTAATATGTATAAATCCTAATGAATCCACAAAAAACTATTTATTAGAGCTAATAAATCAGTAAATTTGCAAGATACAAGATCACTATGCAAAAATTAGCTGTATCTCTATATATTAACAATGAACAATACATAAAGGAAATTAGAAAAACAATTCCATTTATAAAAATTCATAAAAGAAAAAAATACTTAGGAATAGGTTTAGCCTAGGATATGCAAGACTTGGACACTGAATACTACAAAACACTGCTGAAAGAAATTTTAAAATACCTAAGTAAAAGGAAAGATATTCCATGTTTGTGGATTAATATTGTCGACAAGGCAATACCCTCTAATTTTTCTACAGATTGAATGCAATTAAAATCCCAATATCTTTTTTTGCAGAAATGGAAAAGCTAATCCTAAAATTCCTATGAAAATACAAGAAACCCAGAAGAGCCAAAACGATCCTGAAAAAAGAAGAACAAAGTTGGGAGACTCACACTTCCTGGTTTCAAAACTTACAAAGCTACAGTGCCAAAACAGTTTGGTACTGAGATAACAATAGAGAGATAATCATATGGATAAATGGAATAGAATAGAGAGCCCAGAAATAATCCCTCCCATATATGGTCAAATTATTTTCAACAAGAGTACCAAGTCCACTTAACAGGGAAAAGAATAGCCTCTTCAACAAACGGCACTGGGACCAATGGATAGCCATAGGACAAAGAATGAAACTGGACCCTTACCTCACACCCTGTACAAAAATCAGCTCAAAAGTAAAGACCTAAATGTAAAAAAGTAAAACTTAAACTCTTTGAAGAAAACATATGAACAGGGAGGCCGAGGCGGGTGGATCACGAGGTTAAGAGATGGAGACCATCCTGGCCAACATGATGAAACCCCGTCTCTACTAAAACTACAAAAATTAGCTGAGTGCAGTGGCACACACCTGTAATCCCAGCTACTCGGGAGGCTGAGGCAGGAGAATCACTTGAACCCAGGAGGTGAGGTTGCAGTGAGCTGAGATCATGCCACTGCACTCCAGCCTGGCAACAGAGTGAGACTCCATCCCCCCCAAAAAAAAAGAAAGAAAAAGAAAACATAGGAAAAAATCTTCACAACATTGGATTTGGCTATGTTTTCTCAAATAATACAGCAAAGACACAAGCAGCAAAATAAAAAATAGATAAATTAGACTTCATTAAAATTTAGAACTTCTATACACCAAAGTTTACTACTGAGAAAGTGAAAAGACAACCCACAGACTGGGAGAATATTTGCAAATTATATATCTGATAGAGGTCTAATATTCATAATATATAAGTAACTTACATACTCAACAACAAAAGACAAACAAGCAATTAAAATATGGGCAAACAGCTTAAGTAGACTTTTTCCAATGAAAACATACAAATGGACAACAAGTACATAAAAGATGTTCAATATTATTCCTCATTAGGGAAATGCAAATCAAAACTACAATGAGATACCACTTCATTCTCACCACGACAGCTATAACTTTTTTAAGTGAAAAACAAGATGCAGAGAAACTGGAGCCCACATATACTATTGGTGGAAATGTAAAATGGTGCATCTCCTTAGCACAACAGTTTTGCAGTTCTTTGATAAGTTAAACATGGAATTACCACATGAGTCAGCAAGCCCACTCATAGGTACATACCCCCAAAATTAAAAGCAGGTGTTCCTATACATGAACATCCATAACAGCTCTATTCACAATAGACAAAAAATAGAAACAACCCAAATGGCCATCAATTAATGAATGGATATTACTCACCTATTAAAAAAATGAAATACACGTGCCACAACATGGATAAATGGAGAATGTCTGCTTAATGGGTGTAAAGTGTACATTTTGAGTGATGAAAAACTTCAGGTATTAGTGATGATGATGACTGCATAACACTGTGAATGTACTTAATGTGACTGACTTGTACGCTTTAAGATGGTTACAACAGTAATTTTAGGGGAGGGGAATAATAATAGTGTTATTGCATAAAATACCTATGAAGACTAAGGTAAATTAAAGGACATAACCTTTGTAGAGTGCTTAGAAGAGTGCCTGGTACACAGTTGGTATTACAGAGTTCTAGAGAGAGGAAGAAAAAGAGAAACAGGTGGCAGCATCAACCTTGAACGTGGGGGAGGAAACCCTGAAAGGAAGTGGAAGGGCTTCCTAGACTTTTACACAGAGGGAGGTCAACAGGGGTCTGAGAACTCTACCCACTAGTTCTATTTTCTATGAGACACAAGAGTTCTCAATGGCCCCTAGAACCTGGCACCTGCCTTGCAAAACCAGCTCAGAGGACTCCCTCCAGGAGATAGCAGGGAGCAGAGATCAGACTGCATGGACATAGGGCCACCATCCCGACACTCAGTCCTTTGACAACAGCAAAACAAGGAAGTTATTGTTCTGCACAGTGTCCAAAACACACTGACCCACATGCAGACAGAAAGACCCCCTTCACCTGACTCCAGATCCCCAAAGATGGTCCACCCCTTCGCTCCTCAGGATAGAAGGCTTCCAGTTGTTGACCTGCGGGACCTTCCCTGTGTGTCTCCAGCGTCATCCCACCTCCACACTTCCTTCCTGCTGCACTACACCCGCCTCCGCTAGGCACTCATGCCACGCTCCTCCTCCACTCGGCCTGTGCCTCTGCTGATCCCTCCACCTGGAACTCTCCCTTTTTCACCTGGCTAAATTCAATGCACTCAGATCTCAGCCCACAGAACAAATTCTCATTTGGCCATGTGCCTGTCCCTAGTAGGATCTGTCATTTGTGTGACATTTTATTAATGTCTGCACTCTGATGGTCTCTACACTGATGGCCAGGCCCCCAGGAACAAGGATCAGGGAACTCCAGGATTCCTCCCTCCCCATGCCCACCTCCTCACCATCATTGATCCTCCCAGCCAAGGACGCCGCACTGAAGCCAGCAAAGATGACTGTGTGGACAGCTCCGATCCTGGCACAGGCCAGCATTGCTGCCACAGCCAGTGGGGACACGGGCATGTAGATGGCAACACAGTCCCCACGGCAGACTCCATGCCTCTTCAGCGTGTTGGCCAGGCGGCACGTGGTCTCCAGCAGTTCCCTGCAGCACAGGGAAAAGAAAGCCATCAGAGATTGAGGAGGGCCAAAACGCAGAGCAGTTTGGGGTGGAGCAATACTGCAAATGTTATGTCATATACACCCACCCCAGTGCCAGGATAACAGGCACTTGAATACTTAATGCATGGAAAGTACTTTTCCAGAAAAAGAAAAGTTTTTAACATTTGTAGATTGCTATTGGCAGAGATTCACTGCCACATTGCTAGGGTGACAAGGCTATCCTTAAGTCCACTTATGGCAGGGTTTTGTTAAGGGAACAGGAGCGTAGGGGAGCATTTTAGAATCAATTCCATCTTAAAACTAGCAAGGCACATTCTTTGCCAGTCACAACCCACAGTCCTAAGATGTTTACAGCTGAGGAAGCAGCTTAATACCTGCAAAGGCAAACTCTTGCAACAACAGAATGTCCAGATGCCCGAATATTGCATAACATATGCTTTTAAGATGATTATAGGCATGCTGTGATGTACTTATGCACTAAAATGCCAAGGATAGCTTTCTTTCAATCAACAAAGTAATAAATGTCACTTTGTCAGCCTACCCGGAGGGAGACATAGCCTTGCTTTTACATAGATAAGACCCCTATATAAGAAATAAACAAAACAGAGGCATTCCTCCTCTTGCTGAGGAGGCCCTACTATGTAACTGAGAAGCTTTCAATAAACTATCTCTTTTCACTGAGCTCAGCCACTCGCCTTGGATTTCCTTCCTGGCAAGATCCAAGAACCTTCTCCTGGGATCTGGATGGGGATCCCTTTTTCCAGCAGCAGCTTCTCAGGGACCACAAGTGTCTGAGGCATAGATCATCATGGTTCCAAAACTTCTGAAAATGTTTGCCTCCAAAAGAAAGACTGATCTCATAAGACGTTTAGTCGAGAAACGGCAGGTCCCAGATTTTTGAATCAACACAGTCAAGGGGCACCAAACAATGCCCTCAGCGGACAGGCCCCCAGGCCCAGAGAGGGTGGACCCCAGCTCTGCAAAGCCACAGTGAGTCAGGAGTGAAGGCCGCACGCAGGGCAGCCACATCTCCCTGCTGCCCCGAGACAGCATGGGCAGGTAGAGCAAGCACCCTGCTTTCTCTTCAAGCTAGGGGACCATGGATGAGGGGAAGGGAGAGCACTGGGCACCTGCCCGGCCCCCATGTCGTCCCCCACGTCGCCTACCTCTACGGGGTGTGCGTGCCCTTCCTCTCTGGCCACTCTGGGGCCTAGCACCAGGTTTACCCGCCAATCAGGGTGCAGCATCTCTCTGGGCAAGCTGATTGGTTCAGGGCTGACACGTGACCCAACCTGGTCCAGTCAAAGTCAACCATACTCAACTCCGGGAAAACCTGGAGCACGCGAGAGCTGCCCACTTGCCGCCATGCAGCGGGAAGTGGAGGAAGTGGAAGCGATCCCAAGGTTGTCTTTCCTTTCTGGGCCTCCTCATCCCTCTGAATCTGGACCTGGCAATTGCATTAACCACTTTCCCACTGTTGCTGTACTGACTTTAATTAATTATTTGCAATAAAAAGAGCTAACACATAAGGAAGAATGAGGGGAAGCTAAGGCCCCTTCTCTCTAGGCGGGGCAGGCCACCAGCCCGCAACCCTTGCCCTTTGCAGAGGCCCAGAAAGCAGACCCTCCTCGGGCTTGCAAGGCCCCTCGCAGCGTGTTTGCATAGCTCTCCTCTGTTCAAAGGGTAGTCAAGGAAAGGGCTCCCGAGAACGGTGAAGCTCAACGAGGCCACCCGGGAAACCACAGCAGAATGAAAATGAGCTCTCCGCATCACAGGCAGGGGCCTCAAGGAGGCCTTTGTTTCTTCCCAAGGCCATCTGCAGAGGGGACCACATGAGAACCAGCCCGCAGTTCTCCCCGCAGCCAGCACGCCTGCCCAGCCTGGCTCCAGCGGCCTCTTCTGTGGGATTTCATCGTTTTTCCTTCAGGCTTTCAGAAGGAGGACAAAGGCGCCATTCAGTGGCGCCCCACCCACCCCTTGCCAAGGTTTGTGATAAAAGACAGAACACTCCCCAGGAAAACCCCCAGCACCAAGCTCTACAGAATCTAGGGCTCAGCAACACTCCTGCCACTCCGGGGAGGAGGCTGGGGTGGCCTGTGACCGGCTGAAGAGGGAGCCGTGGTCAGCAGCAGGGAAGAGTCACTCAACATCCTCGGCCAGATTCCGTTTTCACAGCTCTGAGAGCTTAAGCCTCACTGCTACGAGAGATGAAGGCTTGAATGTATGCTCAACAGTAAATGGCGATGAAATTCAGTCCCTGTTTTGCAGACGGAGGGCAGCAATCTGAAGCCAAGAAAGGACACCAGACTGTCCCAACAGAAAGGCCTGGGGTAGCTTTCTGTAGTCGCTGCCTAAGCATGGGAGCTTATCTTTCTGAGCTGCCATGTGACCATCTGAGAAACAGCAAGCACCCTCCACCTTGTACAGCTGTCACAAGTATTAATAAGAAGCAAGACCGACTTGGAAGTCTGCCAGACATTCAGCAGGAATCGTCTTTCCCGTCAGATGGAAACTCTCAGAAATCTTTGTGTGAAATCATTTTCTAAAATGACAAAAATCAGCTAACTCACTTCAGTGAATTCCTAAGATGTTAAAAATCCCATTCTAGGCACCTTGGGAGTGAGTGGGGTGTTTGCATTGGAGAAAGAAATTGACAGGGAAAGTGTCCTCCAGGAGCACAGCTCCAATGGGGAAATGACCGCACATGTGAAGGTGTGCAGGGCACTGAGCAGCTCAGCTTGGTGGTATAGCCACTGGGGGTGGCAGGGAAGGGCAGCAGGGAGAGCTTTCTGGGTAGATAAGCTGTTGGGAGAAGGACTGGGGCAGAAAGAAGAGTGGATTTTCCCTATAGGGGCAGACGTCACCCAGTCATTGGAGCTGGACAGCTAAACGACAGCCTCCAGGGAGGGTCTAGAGACGAGGTTTCCCTGGAGGACTGAGGCCTCAACATGGGTCCAAGAGCTGAAGCAGGGTCTGGTGAGTCCCACACTGTTGCTGCTGAGTCCAGAGGAGAGGCTTCTGATAAAGGATTTGATCCAGGTAAATCTCAGAGCTCTCTCCCCTCCTATTTTCTCTGCTAAGAGAAATACCTCGGCAGAGAAGTGGAAAGGATCCTTGAAGTGGAAAGGATCCCTGGACGTCAGGCGGTGCAGCCTCCTTGGGGTTCTGAAATCTGGCAGCCACATTTTGGCCCACAGCAGCCCAGCCTCTGCTTAAACATCACACTGCCAGAGCTCACCTCATGGGGCCACCTCTCTGTCACTTTGATAGGGAAACAGTCTACCAAAAATTGGACCAAGATTTGCAACTCTTCAAACTCTCCCCTTAGTCCTACCTCAGACCTTTAAAGCTTCCCAGAATAAATCTAATTTCTCAATGACAGCCTTTCAAATTCCTGAATATTCCCCACCCCTCATCCTCTTGGAAGCTTCTCCTCCCCCAGGTTCTCTGGTCCAGCCCTCCATGACGGCACTCAATCTCGGTAGACATCCCCAGACTTCCAAGTGAACCCCCACATTCTCATGGTGCCTGCCCAGAGCTGAATGTGGGTACCCAGACCCTTGACCTTGATTCTATATTTAACCATGTTTTTATTTTTTATTTTTTTTTAAATTTTTCTGAGGTGGAGTTTCGCTCTTGTTGCCCAGGTTGGAGTGCAATGGCTTGATCTCAGCTCACCACAACCTCCACCTCCCAGGTTCAAACGATTCTCCCGCCTCAGCCTCTCGAGTAGTTGGGATTACAGGCACACACCACCACACCCGGCTAATTTTGTATTTTTAATACAGATGTGGTTTCTCCATGTTGATCAGGCTGGTCTCGAACTCCCCACCTGGGCCTCCCAAAGTGCTGGGATTACAGGCATAAGCCACTGCGCCAGGCCGACCATATGGATTTTTAAAATACCTGACAGGTGGCTCAAATTCAACATGAGATCACTAACCTGCACCCTCCCAACTCCTAATACATGTAACAGATGCCCTTTAACAAGGGCTTTCTCATATTATGGCCATGGAAATGTTTTGTGTTTTTTTAAAGTAGGTTTTCCATTTATCCCAATCTAATTCTATCTCAATTTCTCCCCATCTCTCCAGATGACTTTTTTTTTTTTTTTTTTTTTTTTTTTTTTTGAGATGGAGTCTCACTCTGTCACCCAGGCTGGAGTGCGGTGGTGCCATCTCTGCTCACTGCAACCTCCACCTCCCAGGTTCAAGGGATTCTCCTGCCTCAGCCTCCTGAGTAGCTGGGACTACAGGCGTGCACCACCACACCCAGCTAATTTTTGTATTTTTAGTAGAGACGGGTTTCACCGTGTTGGCCAGGCTGGTCCGGAACTCCTGACCTCAAGTGATCCACCAGCCTTGGCCTCCCAAAATGCTGGAATTACAGGCATGAACCACCACACCCAGCCAATTTTTGAAGCCTGGATTTTTAAGTTTAAACTCTCATTTTTCATTAGCAATATCCTCCAGACATATATTATTGGAAAATATGGTCAGCAAACCTAGATCTTCAAATCATCGAAAAATAAATGTTGTTCAGGTAAGTGATCCTGCCATTCCAAGTACTCAGCAACTATTTGAAAGCACGTTTTTGGATATTCATAATTTCTCAGACTTCCACAAACCGAAATGTTACTGTTTCTGTATCAGAAAGATAACGCAGCCACTCAGTGACTGATGCCTTGGGCTACAGTTGCAGGAAACAGTGGCTTCCTCACTACCTGCAGGATCCTCTTTTGTGGCGCCCTAGCAGGTCTCCAAAGCACGGGGATGTGCAGCTTTCTAAGTCACTAGAATGAGTTAGAGTTTTACTTTTAAGTCCAAGAAGAAATATAACACTTGTCGTTCAGGTACCAAGCAGGATATTTAAGTTTGTCTGCAATGTAGACTCTGCCGGGTCAAGCTTTTGGTGTGGATGTATGCAAATGATGTGCAGAAAAACACAGATTTGGTCTTGTGTTCCTGGTGCTCAACACTAGGA